TGTGTTTCCTTACTTCATATATATCTTTTTATTTCATTATTATTATTACTATTTTTTTGTTTTTAGCAGTTGAAAGAAACTTTTGAATTTTAGAGGTTGACAGTTTTTTTTTTTATTGAAATGAAATGTTTTTTAATTCGAAAAAAATTTTCTTAGTTAAATTAACTTTTTTTAAAGCTAAATTAAGTGCTTTTTAAATCGACAGGAATTGTAAATAGTGTTTTTGAATGAATAGTTTTTTCTTTTTTTTTTAAAGCGAATTAATTGTAAATAGGATTATTATTATTATTATTATTATTAACCTGATATGTTGTATTTACCTCCAATTGTAATTTTAGTCTTTTTTAAATAACAAAATCTCCTGTACTTGAATTTATATGTAAGGTGTTTCTTTCTGTATTTTATTGTGTTTCTTTTCTTTTCTTTTTTCTTATGTAATTTAATATCGTCTTTATTTAAAGTCTTGTCCTGCCTAGATTAACATTATAGCTATTTGCAGGACATAAAGTATTGTAACTTTATATTCCTTTAAATAAATGCATTGTTGTCGTTGTTGTTGTCAGACCTTAAGGTTCCTTTTGTCTCTTGCAGGAAGGAGGTTATAACATATTAATATTATTTGTCAGACCAGGTGTAAACGAGACACCCATCAGAGATGTTTATTTGGGCTGCCATACACTTCAGGTTTGCTACATACTTTAGATATATTGTACTGTGCTAAATTGGAAATCAGAAATGGATATTTTCTGAGTGTCTTTCAGGGAGTGTTCTGACTTATCAAATTCCTACAGTGGATGGTGAAAGGATTCGTTGTGTGAGACAGAAGCGTTCCATCAACCGAAACACTGAACTTCCGGTTGCTACTCATGAAGTCCGTGACGGTCAACATTCTCATTGCCTAAGTTCACTATTATGTTTGACACGAAAACGCAATGTGTCACAGGCTAAAGATAAAGGAAGGTTATTAGATTCACATTTCAAGAGTGTTTTCTTGTTTCTTTTGTTATTTCTCTGGCTTTTTATTTAAATCATGATAATATCTTTTTCTTTTCATATTTCTATACACTGTTGCTATTCCCTTCCTATTCAGGTTCCTGTTCCCTTTTTCCCCATATAATTTTTCATATATACCGGAATAAGAACTACATAAATCCAAATTAACTTAAATTAAGATAAATGTTGTCCCTGTTTTTATATAGGTTACTCTTCCCATTACGGTTCCTATTCCAGTTCCGCTTTCTGTTCCCGTTCCTATTCCCGATTCCGGTTTCCGGATTTTCCAGACGCCATTATCAACAAAACGTCGCAATAAATCGCCAGAAAGAAGCAGGTTGAAGAGTCAAAGCTGGTATTCACCAGAATTAAAGATAGTAAAAAGTAAAAACCTGTCTCAGAACCTTTGATTCCCAGTTTTATAAACAACAGAAATATTATAACCTCATAGATCTTTCGATGAAAAACAAAGGGTACTACGACTCAGGCGGAAGTAAGCCGAAACGTTTAAAATTCCTAAACCAATGAATCGAGCGTTTGCTCTATTTTCAGTGTATTTTCTCAATGGGCTGACCAGTAAGCTTTATTTGGTGCAATACGCACTCCTCGGAAACGAAACAAAATTTCTCTCTTTAGTATTACGAAAGATCAGAGTTTTTTATACTCACTGAATTCCACGAGACATCAAGTACGTACAACAACACCGCATCAAACTTGCGTCGACATACACAACGCGTAAATTTGAAGTGAAATAAAAACCTCCTTTACCTGGTAAGGCTGAACTTGTCTTGGATTAACATCGTCGGATCCTACACGCAGTAATGAACAGAAAATCAATCACGCGTTAGAATTATTCTTCACGGAATTTTAGCCGTGTTCTTTCCTACAAACGTCAGCAGTTTCTTGACCAAATCATAAGACCTGAGGTAACAAATTCAGAAAGTGGAGAGAATCGACACTTACTTTGTTGTGAAGGCGGCGGCCCACGAACATTTCTAAGATGTAAGAGTGAAGGAACCCATACAAAACTTGCCTCGAAAATTTACCTACATTGTAAGCCAGAGTCTTAAGAGATCGGACCAGACATTTAAAAATATCTAAACGATCTATAGTTATTACACACAAACTAACGAGAGCAAACCGTAGTCAGTTTCAGTTATAATTACCAAATCGAGTTCATCAAAGCCTTTAAGGATATTACAACAAGGATACTGCTGTGGTGTCCTGGTCTGAAGAATCATTGCAGGCGGGGAAGCAGTGGCTTTCCCCTTCTGCATTTTGGCCCAAGCGTTCTTACGCTAGCGACAAATGAAGTTTCTCACGAACTAGGTATTCGGTTGCTTTGGGCAATGGAGTTGAAAACAGTTCAAAAACACAAAACAGCGTATTTTTAGAGGATTAGTGCTGTTTTCCTTTCCACCAGTTTTCGGGAAGAGAGATTAGCTATACACTCTCTCCTGCGCAGAGGCTCCAGCTGGGTATCCCTGCAAAAAAAAATGGTCAGCACTCGTTAACATCCGTCGAAAGGCCCTCTTATCTTCGGTCGGATTTCGTAAACTTATGACGTCACGCTCGTCTCGAAGTTAAATATGTGATTCATCTGCACTTCGACCGTCTGTATCCGACTTGTTTGATTTTTGGTGATAGATTTTGTCCCACTTTTTGGATCATTCCTCGATTGATTCCAATCAATTCATCAAACAAGATTGAAGAAGATACCACTGCCTCCATTTAAAGGATGTTTTGATGTCTCAAGCCTCTTCTTACTCCGCGGGGAAAAGGACCTTTCAGTGGATGTTATTGGATAACATCCTTTGAATGGCCCCAGATCACCAGGCTGTGTATCTAGGTGACAATTATACATTATCACTTCCCTTATTTAATACATGTACAGTGTAAAAATCGCCATACTTATATTTCACACAGAAGGATCAATATCGTTATTTATTATCCCACTATTATGTCATTTTACCACTTAAGGTCAAGAGAATGTGCAAAATATGAGGCTGTAATAATAATATTATTTAATAATATTTCTCTCTGATTTCATTAAAATGAGTGGTCGCTAGGTTTTCGCCTGGCACCGGGCACAGCCCGGCACCAGGCCAGTCCAGTGTCCAAAAAAGGTAGGGGGCTTGCCGTCTTGGTCAGTTTAGCTGGATAGCCCAGGGACTGTCCTAACAGTGGGTGGGTGGATCAGGTCAGGGGGCCAAAATTAGTGGGGGTGGGAGGGGGCTACTTTGACACAACCCCTTCAGTAAGCAGCAGTGTCCACTAGAGGCTTTGACTGGCAAGTACCTTGTTCCTAATTTGCCCTAGCCACTGAGCTGAATCAGGCCTCTGTTGAGAATGATAATGTTAATAGCCTTAGTCTCTATTTTTATATTTTGCACTCATTGTCCCACCTCGAATAGCCTTGTTAGCTGCAGGCAATACTTCTGTAAGTTTATGTGTTTATTAATAAAGTTTTGTTGTTATTGTTGTTGTGATAATTGCAGAGCTCAGTGGCAGGCACAGACAGTCACCCATTGTCCTGCGTGGGGAGGATCAAAGTCTTGGTACCAAGGACACACTTAGCATAGGACCTGTAGACACTCACTGAAGCCATGTTTACATAAATTCTGTCAGATTTATTTATTTATTTAGGCTTACTTATTTTATGCTTTGTAATTAAGGTTGCAAATGAAAATGTGCTTAAACTGTGCGTTTCGGTTCGAAGCCATTGATACTATGAAGTCTTCATCTACATGATATCTGCAAGTTATTTCTTGGGAAAGGTTGCCCATCAGGTCAGTGGGTTTGTTCAAGATTTTTTGTAATACGTTTCTTTAACAGTACATCAATGAATGAATGGTGGAATCAATACTTTTAATTCAACTTAAATAACCTCTCAGAGTTTTGACTTGGCTTCTTGTTGTTTTGTCAAAAATATGTCCTGTAAAAACTGAAAGGGGAGGGTCCAAAGAATTTGGAAATGGTATCTTCCCATCTGCATTAGCCCTTCCCTCTCTGTAAGTAATCCCCACTCCCTGATTTCTTTGAGGTCTTGCTTGAATATTAGTTTATAAGTGTACCTTAAAGCCTCTTCTGGTGTAATTGTTCCTTCAACTTCTTTCACAGTAAAGGCATGTCATTTGTTTTTTGTTTTCTTGTGCATTATTGGCTGTGTGATTTGACTGGTGGGTCAATTTTGGTGCACTCTCGCTCCTCTTTTCTCTCTATATATGATAATTTGTTTTCTTATTCAGCATCAAAGTGTTGACCAAATTACTCCGGAATTATGCTGCTTGTGAAAGGCATCTGTTCAACTGAAATGCCCCATACAGTGGTGGATCCAGACCTTCAGATAAGGGGGAGCCCGGTCATCCAGACCCTGAGATAAGGGGGGAGGGGGGGTGGTCTCCAAAAAATTTTTTTCAGCCCTTCAGGCCTCAGTTTGGTCCAAAAATAAGGGGAGCCCAGGCTCCCCAGGCACCTCCCCTAGATCCAACACTGCCATAGAGAGAGGAGTATTAAATTTTGCTATAGCTATGATCTATCATGGGGGCAACTATTCTGCAAAGAATTTTAGGTCTGATTTGACCGATCTATATGGATGTTTGTTACCAAGAAAAGATGTCTTTACTTACAACAGTTCGGATTAATGCATATTTTTAACATAGAAATTAATTGCTGTGAACCCAGATTATTGTCTGTTAGTAAGAGGTGCATGTAATTTTATTGGAGGTGTTGGTTAACAGAGGCTCTGTACAGTACCTGATGGAAATTAGGATTTTTTTCCCCTGCTCAAGTTCTGTGCAAACTAAATGTCATACATGTTAATGCTACCATTTACAACAGTAGTTTAAGAACATGAGTGATGTTCAAAATACTGAAAGTTTAAAAATATTTCATTGTCTAACAATGTAAATTATAATAATTATTATCATTACTATTACATTATTATTATATCAATTACAGTGAAACCTCTATTAAGCGGGCACCTGCGGGACCTTTCCAAGTGTCTG